ATGCTATCCTATCAATATGGGCCAACATTTCTAAAGAATGCTTTCAGCACCTTGTTGAATCAATGCCACGTAGAACTAAGGCAGTTCTGAAGGCGAAAGGGGGTCAAACACTGTATTAGTATGGTGTTCCTAATAATCCTTTAGGTGAGTGTATGTATTCAGCTAGTGTAAACATGCATGATGCTATCACAGCGAATGGGAGGCTGAGACTGAAGCGTTACCCTTTGTTTCCGCTGAGAGAAGTGCCACGTGACTCATTTCCCCGCGCATACAAGATATCTTAGGTCGGTGTTCACGGTTTGACTTCTGAGATTCAGATCGAGTTCCAGGTAATTTTTTTTCGAATTGGTTGGTTCGACTTTTAAGAAATTCGAGTTCTAATGAGTTCGAGAACTGAGGTACCACTGTATACATTTTAAACTTAGATATTCTATTCTCTATCACTAACCAGCCCTCAGAATAGGAAGTCTAATTTGGAGATGATATGATCAGTCTGATCATATCATGACAGTAGTATGAAGTCGGTAGATGGTTTTCAGTTGTTTCCTCCTCTTAATCTGGTTACAGACGAGCATTATTTAGTGTAGGCATATGTGCCCTTGGATTATTGCAAGCTGTCCAAAACTTCTGAGGATGATTTTGAACCATCTGAGATGGTTGTTTCCAATCAATATCAGATATTATTTATATTTTTAAAACACTGACCATGCATATAGAAATACTACCCTTTTTAAGAATGTTGAATTCAATTGGAAATTGTACAAATATACCCACAAGATAAACACTTTGATTTCCTAAAAATAAATTTTAAACATTGAATAGCTTTTTGTGTGAGTACCCACCAGCACAGTAAGGTGCCGATTCCTCCTTTCAGAACTGTTCAAGTGTAGCTAGACTTTACCAAGGGCCACAGTGAACTGCCCTTGTATCCCAGTGATCTAGAACACTTTAGAACCAACATCTCTACATTTTTTCTCTTCTCTGTTGCTGCTCTGGTGCATTGGATCACTTCTTTCTAATTTCACTTTTCCTGCAGAGGGAAACTTTTCCTTAATCTGTTTGGGTTTGACATGATTCAGCCATTTTTCTTGTTTATTGTCCGCTGTCTGATGTGGATCATCGAGACTGGATGCTTCTGCCATGCTTTAGAGCGCTGTGTTGGGTCAGTCACCAAAGGACTGAAAGTTCTCTATGTTTCATGAGACCACCGAATCCATTTCCACATGATGCAGAATCGCCATAATGTTTTTTTCACATGCCTTAAATGAGTTTCAAGGTGTTTCAAGTTTTTTTTTTCTTGCACTGCCTTTAGGACCCAGATTATAGTGGGTCTTGTGATATTGTAACATGCACAAACTGACCATACTATTGAGAAAGACAATGTAGCCATCAGATCACGGGTCATTCTCCTCTTGGTTCACTTCTTCATTTTGATGGGACAAATTAATTGTAGTTCTAGTGATGCTCTATACCTTATTCCGTAATGGGAGGCTTACTGGTGTAGCTGTCTTTATTTTGGGCTAATCGTAGCTATTTGATTTCAGGAGAAGGGTAATTAGCTTCTTGAATTGTCAAGAATGAAAACGCTTAGGGAATTATTAATACGGACTTTTATTGGCCAGGTATATGCAAATCCAACTAAGGTGTATAAGTTTAGGATTTTAAATAGTATTTTGAGTATTTACTTTTGGACTTCCACACAAATGTTTTTGGTTACTGTATATAAATGTAAGCAAATAAAAATAACAGATAAATAAAATAAAATAAAATAATATGATGTTGTGTTTCAGTGTCAGATTGTAAATGCATCACAAATGACAAATTTAAAGGGTATGTAGTCACATCGACTGTTGGTACTGCTTTTTACTTTAAGCTACTTTGGATATTAAACAAATAGGACATGTTTCAGGACTTTCTGAAGTTTGGAGAGTCCAATGAGCGGAGGTGTGACAATGAGAAGGCTCTCCGTAAGAGAAATTGTAGCGATGTGTTCAACCGGGACTCGGTCAAAGACACCCGCAGAGACGATGACCTATCCAGTGACCCTGACAACATAGTTCAGCTACGACCACAGAACCTTTACCTAAAACTCAGAGTTGGTGAGTTATTTTTCCATTGTTATTCTCACCAAGCAACAATGCAGCTTACATTTTATATTGTTTCATTTATATTGTTTTTACGGATTCTAAGGTGATTAATACATACAATACTGCAAATTTAAAGTATTACGTAGCTGTCTAGTAAAGTAAATCAATTAAGTTACCTCAGTAGACTTATGGGGAGTAACAATAGAACTACAAGGATCTCTTTACAATCAACTTGTGATTTGGGTATTTAAACAAAGCTACGCAATAAGTTCTCTGGGGCCAAAGTAATATTCAAGTCAGCATTAAAATCTTATTTTGACTTATTTGTACAGTTAGGTGGTCCTTGCCCTGCCAGTCCTAGAATTGTGTCTGCATTTCATCATTATTTCAGGAGAACCAATGACCTTTAATGTGGAGTTCAAACGAGCAGAAGGCTACCCCATCGACCTGTATTATCTCATGGACTTGTCCTACTCCATGAAAGATGACCTGGGGAATATAAAAAATTTGGGGCAGAAGATCCTTGATAATCTGTTGCGTGTTACGCGTAAGGTCCGGATTGGTGAGTACTTGCAAATGAATGAATTATAGCCTTTTTTTGGAAGGTTATATCAACTCTCAGCCTTGGTGTGATGCCTAATAAAACCCGTCTCTGATTTGCTTTTGACCCCCATACCTGCAGGCTTTGGCTCCTTTGTGGACAAGGTATCCATGCCTTACGTCAGCACAGTGAACGCCAAGCTGATTAATCCCTGCCCCAGCCGCCTAGATACCTGCCAGCCAGCCTTCAGCTTTAAAAACGTGCTGGGACTCACAGAAGACGGCAATGAGTTCAAGAGGAAGGTCAGTGAGCAGAAGATCTCGGGCAACTTGGACTCCCCAGAAGGTGGTCTGGATGCTATGATACAAGCTGCAGTTTGTCAGGTAGGAATAGCTGAACTTCTATTTGGTCACTGAGAATTTACAGCATTTTTCCATATGCCATATTTTATATAAATCACAGATTTTTCCTGACCTAATTTAGGTTATAAATCTACATCTATGTGTGCACAGCTTAAATTTATTGATCTGCACGGGAATGTAAAAAATGTATGATTACTAGCCAGGTGAAGGACAGCAGACTGTTTGATCTGTTAGATGTATTGCTTCCTTCCTGTAGGATCAAATTGGCTGGGGCAACGTGACGAGAATCCTGGTCTACACATCTGATGATACATATCACATGGCTGGAGATGGCAGATTGGCTGGGATTTACCATCCCAATGACGGGAGGTGCCACCTAAATGCAGAAGGCGTGTACGATAAAGCCACAATTTACGTATGTGACTGTCAGTAAATACCCACTTTTGTCCATTCCCTCCAGCATTTGTGATCCTTGAACTCTTCTTATATGCACACCACCTAGCAGTTGACCTGAACTCTGTGGGAATTTTGTTACTGCTGCTACTTCATGTCAATCGTGTCTTTTTAGGACTATCCTTCAGTTGGCCAGCTGTCCAGGGTCCTCTCAGCCAACAACATTCAGCTAATCTTTGCCGTTACAGAGCATAGCATTCCAACCTACAAGGTCGGTGACCCTACCTTTGTTTCTTGCTGGAGCAGTATGCCAAGTAACAAGCTAATTATTCTCTGTTCTTCGACCCCCCCCCCCCCCAGGCACTAAGTCACCTAATCCCGCAATCGGTAGTTGGAGTTCTTGAGAAGGACTCCAGCAATGTAGTCCAGCTTATTTCAGATGCCTATGGGGTGAGTACTGCGTCCAAACGCAACAGCCTCAGGTTGCATGTGCTGTTGACAATAATGCATGGAGTCTCAGTCGTCACAGCAACACAGAAATCAAATGTGGTCAGCAGCTTTTCAAGTTCACACATGATGTTGTGAGAACATTACAGCAACAGGAAATAACATATTTATCTCTACTGTAAAATATCAACCATGCCAAAGCATTAGGGAGAGGACTTACAGAAACAGGCAAAATGTGGCAACAGTAACTGCCCATTTAAGCAGTAGCTGTAGAATTAGGGACTGGTAACTGTAGCAATCACAGAGAACATCAGCAGAGAACAGCACAGGTGGACATGACAACCTACCTGCATCTGCAGGTGATTACAATGGACAGTCACTCCAATATCATAAACATTAGAAGCATAAACCAATGACGTTAGGTCACAGACTGAGAAATGAAAGAAAACAGAGTCAGCATAGAGTACTGTGAACAGCGTACTCACACCACAATGAGAAGTGGAACATAAATGGTGCAGATCCAGTAAATTGCTGTTATATCCAGGACATGCTCTGTGTCATGTTGGGGCATAATTCGCAGTCCACAATGCGTCTTACAGACAAAGGCAACTTGGTAATACTTTACTTAAAGCTGACATCTTCATAATACATTATAATGGATGGTATAAGAATTAATAAAGCATTGCAGCATCTTCTATTGATAGTTATAAGGCATTATAGTGTTGATTATAATGCTTCATAAGCTCTAGCAAAGCTGTCATCTGTAATGCACAATTGATACCTTCATAATACATTATAATGGTTGATATAACAATTAATGATGCTTTGTACTGCGTTATGAAAATATAGTGCATTATAGATGAGAGCTTCATAAAACATTCCTAATGCATAAAAAAACACGGCTATAATGTCCTTTTATAAATATCTATAGCAATGTTTATAATGCTTTATGAATGCATTATAATGTGTTATGAATGTGTTCATAGAATTTTATATACATGGCATTTACAGAAAGTGTTAACAGGAAATGTGTTACAAATTTAACTCAACACACGGAAACAAAACAGACCATGAGGGATCTAAAAGAAGGCAAGTAACCTTCTTAAATTTACCACAGGGAAACACACACTATACTAAGAACAAGCTTTTCACCAGGGAATAACTAACAGCAAACATACTCACACACAGACAGTAGCCAACAAGGGAACTGAGAACAGGCAGGGATTTATATACACAAGTAAAAAGGTCTAGATGAGGGACAATCGTGGGTCATTAATGATTATTCAAATACTAGGGACTAGGAGATAAAAAGACATAGCAGAAACAAGGAATACAGGGCATGCATAGGAACTGGGCACAAACAAGTCAAACAATGACACTGCGGGCAAGGGTAGACCAGGGTACATAAAGACAAGAAACTTACAAGGACTTAAAAGAAAGAATTTTGGGGCACATAAACTGTCCAAAGTTGTTGAGGCTGGTCTCTGGCCAGCTCTGAACTTGCAGCGGTTTGGGATTTATGGTTCTCAGCCAGGAGCTCAGCCCCTTTAGTCACACGGTGAGGACTGTGAGGGAAACTGTGAGGACTATGACTGGGACAAGACCTAAGGGAACTACAGCAGACATTGACACTGAGAACTTAAATATAAAGACATGGACTGGACTAAGCACATAGAAAAGACCAGCAACACATCCCATATTACTGAAATAAGAGAAAAATGTTTTTATATATTAATTCAAAAATATAATGTTCGTCATTTCCATTGATGAATGAATTTAGTTTTTAAGCCCTTGAACAAAGGATTAATGAAAAATTAATATAGTTTATGAAAATGCACATATGCAAGTGTAAAATAAGTATCAGGTTTCCATGCAGTTAAAACTTTCATATCCTCTGGGTGCCTGAGGTCATGCTATGATGGTGACAGGCCTGCTTAGTTACTTTAAAGGGTTGTTTTGTTTCTAAGCCAGGGATTCATCTTATTCTAAAGCCACTTCACAATGCTGTCCCCTGGTGCTTTCAACAGTGTAACATAAGATTATTTCCTTTATTGTCATTTTATCATGCACTTTCATACAATCAAGAATGAAATACCATTCCTCCTAAACCACCAGTGTAAATAGATAAATAAAAAAAAAAAACAACATACACAATACACATAACAACCCGTATCCATGGTGATCTGTGGTGCATTTGCAGGGAGTAGCAGCATGAAAAATCTTTTATGCAGCATATCTTTTATAGTGCGTTTAACGATGCAGCAGCATGTACTGAAAAATAAATCCTCACATCCTGAGGAACAAATCTGGTATGAAACCTGGTTGTCCTGGTACGGATACTCCTGTACCTCTTCCCTGAAGGCAGGAGGGAAAACAGGCTGTAGGAGGGGTGGTCAGGCTCCATGATGATGCTGGAGGGCCCTGCAGATGCGGCGCTGGTTGAAGATCTCCAGCAGGGTTGGGAGATGGGCACCGGCGATCTTCCCAGGTGTTCTCACTACCCTGTTCAGCTGTTTTTGTTCAGAGGTTGTGCAGGTTCAGAACCAGACAGTGATACACTAGGTCAGAACACTTTCAGTGATGCCCCTGTAAAAGGTGATGAGGGATGGGATGGGTAGGTGTAAAGGAAAAGCTGTAAAATCATCTCAGGACCTCTGCACACCTAGCTACCACTACAAGGTTTTCTGAAGCTGGCAGCAAATAAGGATGTATGGACAATGTCAGAAAATGTCATGCATCACCTTCGCCTCTGTGGGATGGAAATTCAGTAGCCTACTGTGTTACCATTTCAGCTTCACGTTCTGTGGTTCCCTGCAGCTTCCTCGTTGCCCTTTCATGCTTATCTGACACACATTTCAGAACGGAAGCCGTCTAGCATGCAACTGGCTGGCTCGCACGCTTTACTGTCTGTGCTGGAAGGAACATGTGGTTTACAACCAGAAGTCTTGATAAAATATTTGCCTGATATTTGTCTTAGTCTTTCAGTACTGTAGTGGAATATTCTTCAGAGCTTGCCTGAGATTTCTGGGTTTGACGAATAATCTCTAGTTTTGTAAAGAAATGCTCAACAAAAAGCTGCCAGATCACAGGCCATGCTGGGAATCCTTTTTCCAAGGTGGTACCTTTGGCAGATCCTGCTAATAGCCTCTGTAATGCTTAATTTCTTGCTGCTGTATTTGACTGCACTGATTTAAGCTGATTTGAGATAATGCATCTGTGAAAATAAGTAGAAATGTCTCTGATAAGTGGGGTCCATTGGGTTTCCACAGAACCTGTCCTCTACTATCCTTCTGGAGTACCAGCAAGCTCCTCTAGGCTTGAATATCTCATTTAGATCTCAGTGTAGCAAGGGAGAGTACAGCGAATGGGACAGGACGGGAAGATGCAACAACGTGAAAATCGGGCAGCAGGTGAGAAGAGGGGCTGGCAGAGGATGGGAGGGGGTCTGAGAGAACATGTGAGAGGGAGGGCTGACGGAAACACTGCTGGGCACTTTGTCTTTCCCCAGGTCAACTTCGCTGTCAGACTGAGCGCCTCGACATGCCTGTCAAAGGCCGAGACCTTCCTCATAAAGGTACAGGGGCTTCGCGAGGAGCTGAAGGTCACCGTGGAAACGCTGTGCGACTGCGATTGTGACGACCGGGAGCACAGCGCCACCCACTGCAATGGCGATGGGACCCTGCATTGTGGCATGTGCAGGCAAGTCTGCAGCCAGTTATCGATAAGAGATAATGCCACAGGAATGCTTACTGAATTACCATCATTACAATTACCCTTATTTATTCCTTTTTGATTTAATCATTTGACTTAAACCAAACATTTGGTAGCTGCAAAACAGAGGAAACATTATTATTATTATTATTATTATTATTATTATTATTATTATTATTATTAAGGCAAGTTATTTCCAGATTATAGATGTTGTTCTAGATTTTACTGCCAGTAACCAGTGTTAAAAATATTAATACCAAATATGAGCATTTCTCATAACTAACCCGAAATGTGTGTTCAGCTGTACCTGAAACATAGACATTTTGGAAAGGCAGTATTTCTGAGGTGCTTATAGAGTAACGCTGTGCTCGCTGATGGTCCAGCTGTTACGGGAACCACCTGGGTCAGAGATGTGAGTGCCAGCGGCAGCGGGACACGGATACAGTGCATGAAATAGAGGCTCAGTGCCGGCAAAGCAACAGCTCGCAGCCGTGCAGTGGGCAGGGCAGTTGCGAGTGCGGCAAGTGCCAGTGCAGGAGCCCCTACTGGGGTGAATTCTGCCAGTGTGACGACACCAGCTGTGAGAGGTTCGACGGCAAGATGTGTGGCGGTGAGCGGAGGCGGGGTTTGGGGCCTTCAGACTTCCTCAGACTGAGACTAAGATTAAACAAGTGGTTATTATCAGGTTATTACTGTGTGATGTTGGCTTCACGCGTGGTGTCCTGTCACTGCGACCCTAATTTGGCTACCTGGTCATTGAAGATTGACTAATATAATGTTATTTTGTGAAAAATAATTACATAATTATGCCTTGGCCCCAGTCTGTCAGTTTGTTAAAGCCCTGATTCGTGAGTTTATACCTGTCCTCCAATTTGTCTGGCTCCTTTAGTCACAAGTAAAGTCTTCTGTACATTCTGTCATGCAGACCAAGGTGCCTGTAAATGTGGAAACTGTCAATGTAAAGCTGGCTTCAGTGGCTCAGCCTGCGAGTGCGACACCCGAACTGACAAGTGCAACAAAGGGTCACTCATGTGCAACAACCATGGCAACTGCATATGTAACCGCTGCAAATGTGAGCCCGGCTTCTTCCGGGACCAGTGCACGGAGCTGTCATCACCCTGCCAAACATATAAGTAAGTTTCAGTGGGGATTGGGCAAGTTCCTTCATTTCAAGGTCCCAGCCTTTGAAGACACCTTAAGATCTTGCACAGAAACCCATGCTATCATAACAAGGTCTTGCTCAAGGGACCATGTGTAAATAAACTGAGAACACAGCCTGGTGTACTCACTTTACTCAGCACACAGCCTGGTGTACTCACTTTACTCAGAACACAGCCTGGTGTACTCACTTTACTCAGCACACAGCCTGGTGTACTCACTTTACTCAGAACACAGCCT